TAAGGGTTGCTCGTTCTCTTCCCTTAAAATCTCTGGCCTCTGTCCACCTCTCCATGCCGCCGACATTCCCACCTCCATCTCCACCACCACTGGCCTGGACCGTGGTACAGTCTGCTAATGGGCGCCTGTGCCTTCAGGGTTAACCCCTCCAAGCCTTGATGATAATTCTGAAACACAGATGTGGTCCTGTCTTCCTCCTCCTCGGCTCTGTTAGTGTTTCCCTGTTGGTCCCCGAATAATCAACTCTGAAGCTCCTTAGCTTAGCATGCAGTCTGCAGGGTATCTTTTGGCCAGTCGCTGCTGACCTGGCCAGCTTCCTCTCGCCACTCCCCTGCCTCTTCCTCACCCCCCCCACCTGCTAGACTTGCAGGTTTCGGGCCCTCCGCCCCTCCCCCTCCATAGTGTGCCTATGCTGTTCACTATGCCAGGACCACCGGCCCACCTGAAGCCCGGTTTGGTGGCCAGCCCCCTCCCACACATCCTCAGACATCTGCCTGGCTTTGTCCTCTGGGGAACCCTTTCCTAATTCTCGGGGCCTTTTCTGCGCCTCTTCTTCCCGTAGCACTGCTCACACCCCACCACTTACAGGTCTGCCTCTGCCCTCCTTGAGGACAGGGAGCAACGGAGTCTGTGCGGCCAGGCCTGTGTCCCAGCACGGCCCTTGTGCACCCAGCACACAGAGGTGTCAGTGCGTGTAAGCTGAATGAGTGAGCGCATGAATAAATGCTTCTCCAGGAGCTCCCTTGGGCCCCTTTCCTCCTGAGGGTGGCCCTGGCCCAGGCCCTGCTCACCTGCCCTCTACCGTTCAATTCCCAGACAAGTGCAGATAACTGGAGTCAGTCAGCCTCAGGCCGCTGCCCTGTCGGCCCTGTCGCAGCCCTCACTGGCTGCCCTACGTGGTCTGAGCCACCCTTCCACTGGCAGCTTTGCCAAGCAGGTATTTGGCCCCTTGGGCCCAGCCAACAAGCTCATCCTTTGTCAGGTGCTAGCCTCACTCACCTCTCTGAGGAGTTTAAACAGCTGCACATCTCCCATTATGGCCTTGGCAATATAAAAATATTTCCGACATTAAGAATACTAATGGGGATCCCTGGATGGCGCAGCGGTTTAGCGCCTGCCTTTGGCCCAGGGTGCGATCCTGGAGACCCGGGATCGAATCCCACGTCGGGCTCCCGGTGCATGGAGCCTGCTTCTCCCTCTACCTATGTCTCTGCCTCTCTCTCTCTCTCTCTCTCTCTCTCTCTCTCTCTCTCTCTCTGTGACTATCATAAATAAATAAAAATAAAAAAAAAATACTAATGCCCCCAAACACAAGAGGGTCATTTTGTCACAAGCTAATAACCCTGCAGGAACATAAAACCAGGTTAGTCTTCTAGAACTTGGAGGTAAAGAAGATCTACTTTGGGGGCCTCCCACCCCTTACCTAATTCTACATCATAACGGCTTCAGGTTGACCTCATTAGCTCAGTGAGAGGTGCGGGGTGGGGGGAGGAGGTAATGGGGGTTACTGCTGACCCATGTGGCCCCAGTGCTTCACACAGAGGACTCTCCCAGAGGCCATGTTGTCACCAGCCTCATCCTGCTGCTGCTCGCTCTCTCTCTGAACTTCTGGCCTGTTAAAAGGCCCAGATTTTTCTCTTCGCTTCTGCCCCATTTCCTCATTTTCTAGCTGCACCATTAACTTTTTAAACTGATCAGTAGTAGGTTGCACTGACTCATGAGGTTTCAAGGGCTGGAAAAAGAGCCTAGGCTAGAAGCCCATAACTGCCATACTACTGACTTGGTGAACTGAAACAAGTGTTCCCCAATCTGGGTCTCTCTCTTTCTCTCTCTCTCAATCTCTCTCTCCCTCTCCCTCCCTCTCCCTTCCTCTCCCTCCCCCCCCCACCTCTCTCTCTTTTAGTGGCCAGTTACAGGTTAGACTCCAGAATCCTCAGTAAATGGGATCAGTAGTCAGTGTGAGTTCGTGGAATGAATGATGGTTTCATCAAGTGTGCTGGCCTCTCTGTCATCCTGTGCCTTAGGTTATACAGTATATACCTTCTACCGTTGGGTCATCCAAGAAACTAGCATCCTTGCCTCTCCTCCAAGAAAAGGAAGTATTCTAAGCCTAAAGCACAGACAAAGACGGGGGTGGGGGTCACCTGCGCAGTGCTCACAGTTAACACGGGTGGTGTCCCTTGCCACCCCTAGTGGAGGAACCTGAAGAAAAAGGATCTTAAGCACTTGCCACAAGCACACAGCCAGTGGGCAAAGTTAAGACTAGAAACAGGTCTATCCTTGTCATTTTCAGAAAACAGTGGTTCCTGGAGATTGGAACACAGGGATCGGGGGTAGAAAATGGCAGAGATGAGACCAGAGACAGCAGGCACCCCTTTGTACAGGCCTTTGGCTCTAAGTCCTATTAAAAAGAGGATAGCCTTGAACCCGGGGGCAGCAGGAGCCATTGAAAGGATTTAGAGACAAGGATGCGATCAGATTTGTAAGATCACTTGGGCTACGAGAGAATGGATTAGAGGGAGAAGAAAGAGGGTAGGTTGTGTAAGAGCAAGGGTGATGGGGTCTTCGCTGGGGTGGGGGGGGCTTCCCACAGGAAGGGAAGTAGATGATTAAACAGGATAAGATGAAATTCACAGTTGATACTTGACATTTGGGAAGGGAGAGGGCGAATTGTCAAGCCCAGTTTCTCAGGCTTCTTTGGGAGCACTTGGGGTGCTGTTCACCAGGATGGGGAACACTGGGTAGTGAAGACATGTGGGGAAGGAAATTGGCGCATTGCTGCATGTTTTGAGTTTGTATGGAAGTCTAGAGAGCTGTTCCGGAGCCCAGGGGAGGCACAGGCAGGGGACTGCGATGTTCAGGGCGATGTTCAGGGCTCGCTGAAGCGCCGGTGACGAGCGCCCAGGGGTCAAGGACAGCCGGGCCAGGCACAGGTGGGAGGTCAGCGCTTGCCCACTGGATGGCTGGGGGCGGCCGGGGGAGGCAGATTGAGCGATTTGTCCGGCAATGAGGGAGGAGCCAGATGAAGTCAATAGAAAACTAATTTTCTTTTCTGCTGGAAGAAATGAGGTGTGTGGCTGCTGGGTAATTGCAGATAACGAGGGGACTTATTCTTAATATGCACAGTGGCCATGGTCCCCAGAGTGCAGGAGACAGGGAGGATTGGAGGTGCCCTGGCAAAGCCAGACTTCTCTGGGAAGAAAATCACCCTGTCGTAGCCCTGTAGACGGTGCCATCACCACCCGCGGACCCTCCTAAACCCGCCCGCTCCCGGCCCCTTCCCGCCCCATGGCCAACCCGCCCTCCTGCACCACCCTCCTGCCCCCTTCCCCTTCCTGTCAGCTGCCTCCTCCCGTCCAGCCCCCGCCCTCCACCCTCTACCCCCACAGCACAGGCACACGCACTAAGGGAGACAAATGACAGGGCCTCAGCTGAGCGGGGTGCGTGTCCGGCCCATAAACCACGGGGATGGGTCACGTCTGGAGTTGCCATGGTCGCCACCACCCTCCCATCCGTCTTCCCACTGTCCTGCCTCAGACCAGCCCTCGTGGCTTCCTGAGTCCCTGGAGGAAGGTGTCCCCACGTCTGGGTCCTGCGTCCACTTCTCTGAGGCCACATCCCCCTCGGGTACATTCACGTTGAGGCCTGCGGGCCCGACCCTGCGTGACAGAGCTCGCAGTCGTGTCTGGCTAAGGACGCGGGACCTGGGCTGACTGGGACTCCCGCCACCACAGCCCTTTCCTAGCCCCGTTGGGCTCCGTTTCCTAGTCTGAGCTTCTGGCGGAGTCAGGCTGGAGGGCTCAGTGGAGGGGGTTAGGCCTTGACAGATGCGGAGGCCTCCTGACCCCACCTTGACCTTGCCACCGCCCGCACCTGATTAGGACATCGAAGTATAATGCTTCTGCAGTCGCAGCATCGATCCCAGGAGGGCTGGCAGCAGCCGGGGGCCTGGTTGCGGCCCAGGAGCATCTGCGGGGGGGCGGGAGGCGGTGGGAGGAGAGCCGGCCATGCTCTGGGCAGCGGAACAGAAGACCCCTGGGCACTTGGCCCATTTCTGCCCTTGGCCGCCTGTAGGGGGACAAGTGTTGGGCAGCTGCACCTCCTGCTGGTGGCATCGGAACAGGTCCTGGCCTGTGTCTGTGATACTGAAGGCCCAGGGTACTGCCCCTGCAGCTGCCAGGGTTCCAGGAGCTGGCGCGTGGACTTTCTCACAGGGACCAGTGCTGGAGAGACCGCGGGGACAGGGACAGGTTCAGCAGGAACAGACATAAGATAGAGCCAGAGACGGGACTGATGCCTGACTAGCACCAGCTTTGAGTGCAGCAGGGTGGAGAGGCAGGGCGCAGCCGGGGTGCACAGGCCCTCCTAGGAGGACTGCGGGCCAGGGTATGGGGACCGCGAACCCTCGCCGCTCTGGGGTACGCAAGAGCAGGTGCCCAGGACCCAGCCCGGAAGTGCCAAGGTTTGTGCCTCGTTACCAGCGATTATGGCCCGGGCCCCATCTCTCACATGCACACAAGTGCAGGCAAAGTCACCCTGGCCGTGGGCGTGATGAATGGCCGCACAGTAATGAAATGGAGACATCAAGGCGGGTGGCGGGAAGACGGAGTGTGGCGGACGGGCCGTCCCCACGCGGCAGCAACAAGAAGGATCGCCCAGCGGCCGGGGGCCGTCAAGGGAGAAATTACACATTTACTCTGCCTTTTTCTTACTGCGACGGCGCCCATACATCACCGCTGGGGCCGGGGCGGGACATGCTGGCCAATTTCCAGCATGAATTATGGGACTGAGCAGCATGGAGACGCTTCCTGCCGGCCTAGCATCATCCAGCCCAACCTGAGGCTGGAGACGCTGCCACCAAGGGACAGGACCCCTGGCTAAGAGCCTGTGGTTCCAGAATCTGAGCCTGCTCCCCCTCCCCCACCCACGTTAAGAGCACTCATGGGCACAGAGGGGCAGGATCTGGGACCCATCTAAACGTCTTCTCTTTCTCTTCTTAGATGACTGCAAGAACATTGCCAACATCATGAAGACACTTGCATATCAAGGCTTCATCTTCAAGCAGACATCAAAGCCATTCTGATTGGCCGAGGACGGGATGGGGCAGGACAGGGTAGCTGCTTGGCCCAGCCCAGAACCCTCCTTTCCCTCACCAGAGGGGAAAAGGGAGAGTGGCACAGCTCTACATCCAGAGTGTCCCCCAGCCTGCCCTGTGGGCTTGTGCCCTGGGTAAGGGCTTGGCCACTCGGCCCCTCTGGAGCAGACACTTTGTGCCCCCCCCCCCCGCCCCCCCCAACCCCTCAACCTCAGCCCAGCATTAGCCCCTCCCATTGTGGGCCTGGGCTAGGGGAACCAGGCACTCACCGCCTCTTCCCTGGTACACAGGCTTCTGCTGGGGCCACCAAGCCCCCCTGTGCCCCCTCCCATCTGTAGTGCATGGTGTGTGGTGCCCCCAGGGCTCCAGGACAGATCAGGCCCCACCTTGTGTCTACCCCCATCCCCGCTGTGAACGTGCCACTGAATAAAGTCGGGGAAACGAGGCTCTGGGTATGTGTGGACTGGGGGCTGCTCTGTGCTGAAGGCCACCGGTATGGCCGGCAGCCACTGGAGCACCTGGGAGACCCTCCCTGAGTGAGCACAGGGCCATGGGGACTGTCTGAGCATAAGGTAACATTCAAAGTTGCTGGTATCTGAGACCACTACTGTGTGTGAACCATCTTGAGTGCAGAACCAAGTACAGGTGGTGTTCGGGCAAAGCTGGCAGTGGCAAGAGGGCTGCTAAGTTAGGGCCTCTGCGCAGGCAAGTTCCAATGCCACCCCTGTGCAGTGGGTGTGGCGACCAGCTCCTGCCCACCCTCCCAGCCAGGGGCATCACAAGGGGTGGGAAGGAAGAGGAAGCAGCCCAGTCCGACTCAGCAGCTCTATTTACACAGCAGCACCCACACCCCGTGTGGCCTCTCATGGCTTCTTGGCTTTCTTCACAGAAGAGGAGCTGGAGGCCGATTCCCGTCGCTTCCTCTGAGAAAACACAGAAGGTGCTGGGGTCAATGGCCCCCAAAGCTCGATTCGGGCTTGGTGCACGCGTTTCACACTCAGGGCAGGTGATGCCCACTGGCCACCCACTCCTACCCTCCATCTCGGACCCATCAGAGTGACCACTCCCAGTGTGGGCGCTAGAGGGAGCAGCGGGGGCCCGTACACACTGGGGCGCTTGCTCTTCCGCTGAGCCAGTCCGTGCTCCCCCCACCCAGCCAGGCTCTTACCGAATTGGGTGTGAGGGGTGCGCCCACCACATCAATGATGGTATCCTTGGTGGGGTCAGGGCCGAGACCGGGTTCGGGTACTGCTGGCTCAGCAGAGGCTGGGGCCGGGCCCGATGCCGGTGTGGCGGGGCCCCCCAGCACACCTGCCCTCGCCAGGGCCTCGTGCCGGTGCCGCAGCATCTGCAGCTCGTACTCGCAGTTGGCGCAGGCCTGCTTAAGCTCGTAGAGCAGCACTAGGTCACTCCGCAGCTCGTTGAACATGTGCACCAGCTCCTCCGTGGGTGTCGGGCTCAGCTCTGTGGGTGGTGGGTGGAAGGTGTGGGCAGAGCCAGGGGGTGTGGGGAGGCCAGCCACAGGACGTGCCCTCTCCTGCCCAGCCCCCACTCACCCACACCAAGCTCCAGCAGCATCTGCTCCAGGGCCTTGATCTTCTTCTGTCCCACAGAGCTTGGTAGCTTCATCTGCAATGACCCAGGCTGCTAAGCCCTCTCCAGGGCAAGTGGTTAAGAATGAGGGGGACCAAAGGCACAGGGGAGCAGAAGAGAAGTGAACCCCTGGAGGCAGCTCTACATCCAAAAAGGAAATAGCCAGCAGGTGGAACAAAGCAAGAGCTTGAGAGCTTTGACTTCGGCCTGGCCACATCCCAAGACCTCCCCACGTGCAGCACGTGGCACAACCCCTCGTGGTGCTCCAGCGCCACCCCTGTAGCATGCAGGCTGCGGGGAGCCCGGGGCCCGGCAGGGCCACGGAGGGGCACATACCCGCTGGCTCCGCAGGGTGACGCCTGCAGACTTGAAGTCCGGAAACTTGATGCCTGCAGTCTCCGGAACAGCCTGGGGGAGAATAGGTTATGGAGACCAAGGTGCGGCAGGGACAGGGCCCAGGGTTAGTCCCAAACACCCTTCTAACGCTGGGTGCTCTCGGAGCCCTCCACCCTGAGCTGGGCTGACTGCGCCTCCGCACCGGCTTCTCGGCCTCCTTCTTCTGGGGTAGCTTCTTCTTGGGGGCTTTGCGTTCCGTGCGCCGCTGCTCCGCAGTGGTGTCTGCAGCCGTTATCAGCTTCTGCAGGTCCTGGCTGCGCTTCTCCCGCTCCTTCTTCCGGGCCTCGATCTTCCGCAGCTCCTGCAGCAGATACTCCTCCTCCGCCACCTGGGAACGCAAGATGCAGAGGTGAGGGCAGACAGGAGGGAGTGCAGGGCCACTGGGCTGTGAGGGACTCCAGGAGGAAAGGAACCACGGGGGAGGGCGGGGGAAAGGGTGCAGGATGGAGGCACCCAGGTCACGAGGCAGAGGCGGCGAGGCCCGGGGCTGACCTGCTCCGGGGTCCGGTTGTAGAGCCGCTCCAGCTGTTCCTTCCGCCGCCGCTCATGCCCCGCATCAAACACTGGGATCTTGAGGTCTGTGCCTGGCACGGCCCGCACGTTGGCAAGCTTGGCACAGATATGGTAGTACCGCTCCTTCAGGTCCTCCACGGAACGCTTCTGAGGATGGGGACGCGGTCGGGAGGGAGGATGAACGGCCGGGGCCCCTGGAAGGGGCGGCGGGAAGGCGGGGCCTGCCAGGCCCAGGGCTGGGCACACGGGCAGATGCCTGACGCCCGCTCACCTTGAACTGCTGGTGGTCATACCGGTCATGGATGACCACAAAACGTAAGTCAAAGCGGCGGCTGAGGTCAAAGAGATGGTCGGTCTCTGCCTTAGTCCAAGCATCGTCGTGAAGGTACAGCTGGTACTCCTGCTCTGAGTACACGGGAACCTGCACAGTCTGCTGGCACAGAGGGGAGCACGCCGCATCAGGTCATGTCCAGGCCGCCCCAGCCCTCGGGACCACAGCCCCTCCTGTTTACCGCCCGTCCCTAGGCTGGACCAAAGCGATGCCTGCCCTGGCAGCCTGGGAATGATGTTTCCACGTGACGAAACCCACGGCTCGCCTAGATACCTCTGGCTTGGGCCCAGGAGCTACTTCACCATGCCTTCAGCTGCGGAGCCTCAGTACCAGGATGTGTGCTCCTGTCCCCACAGCTAAGGTGAGGGGCTCACGTGTAAGTGCTCCTGTGGAGTCCAAAGGTTAACTCTGGAGTAGAGCAGATGCCTAAATACTGGAGAAAGGCCCAGGATCCCCTAGTGCGTGGGACACTTGTCTGAAGCACTCCTGCCACCCAGTGGTCACAATGAGACTTGCAGCTCTTCTCTATAGAAGAAGGGCCTGAATCCTACTCCCAGCACACGCTGCCCCGCACCCGGCACATGCACCCAGCACACAGCACATGTCCCTGCCTCCCCGCAGCCACGCTCCAACTCCCAGGTCTTCATCAGGGACAAAACGCAGCACCAGCAGCAGGGCCCGTAGTCAGGAGTCCAGGCCTCCAGGAAGGAGTCGATGTCAGGCTGGACGAGGGAAGCCCCTTTTCTCTCTCCAAGACCACACTGGCTCTGAACCTGCTCTCAAGACCCTATTGCCAGCTGCCTCTTGGACTTCTCCCAGAGGTCCCACATACACCTCAAACTTAGTATGTTCAGATGATGGATGTGAACCAGACTTACTGTGGTGATCATTTTGCAGTATACACAAATACCAATCATGATGTGCACCCAAAGCTAACAATATTGTGTGTTGATTATACCTCAACAGAAATATATGCATGTGTGTGGTACTGGACTCATCACCCTCCCTCAAACCTCTAGCTCTTCCAGTTCAGTTCTCATGTCACCATTAGCCAACACAGGTGCCCAAGCAGAGGCCTGGGAAGCATCTTTAACTCCCCCTCCCCTTCCAAAAGCTGTGGCTTTACCTCCAGAATCTCTATCTCCACCTGCCACACCACAGTCCAGAACAGCACCACCTGCCTGCATCAGAGAAACAGCCTCTCCACTGGCCTCTCTGCCTCCATTTGATCCTCTTCCAAGCAATTCTCCAACTGCAGCCAAGATGTGATCTCTCGGACCACTGTTACCTAAAGGACAGCCTGCAGACCAGTGCTGCTCCCAAACTGGTACCACTGGTCCATGTATGTTATGTTCAGAGTAGACGATTAGAAACCTTTATGACAATTTCACAGAAATCACATGCTACTGAATTGAATATGAAGAAATATGGGGGCGCCTGCATGACTCAGGTCGTGATCTCAGTGATCTCAGGCTCGAGGATCAAGCCCTGTGTCGGGGCAGGGGGGGAGGGGTCCCTGCTCAGTGAGGAGTCGGCTTTTTCCTCTCCCACTACCCCCCACAGGCTTCTGCTCACTCTCTCTCAAATAAATAAATAAAATCTTAAAAAAAACACACACACATGGACTTATATTTTGTTTTTTCTTTTAATCTTACTATATCAGTCTGATGAATTGGAAATATTCTTTTAAAGTCCTTCATCATAGATAATTTCAGAAGCATTATTCTAGAATAAATATCATGTCACCCAACCATCTCTTACTAAAAGCCTCAGAAGTTCTCCACTGTACTAAAAGTGCCTTCTAGATATTCACAAACTCCTCAAGAGCAAGGGTTGTCTGGTTCATTGCCTATCTTCAGGGTTTAGCACAGGGCCAGGCACACTAGTATCAATATTTACAGAATCAACCAATGAACACATGGGTGCATGACCTGGCCTCTCTCTGCAGCCACCGTCCCTTGTGCATCCAAAGTAAATGACTAGCAGTGTCGGGAACACAGTAGGCTCTCCCCCTCAGCCTCGGTTGTTCTTGCCTAACGTGTGTTCCCACTTCCATATTCTTTCTTCTACATAGACAACTTCTCATCCTTTTGCTCTCTTTCAGGCAGTAGCTAATCTAGGAAGTCTCTCTGGTTTCCCAGGCTTGGTTAAGTATCCCTCCTATGCATTCTAATCCAATTAAAAAAAAAAAACTAAAAAACTCAGAACTATGTAGCCAGTCCTGCTCTCTCAAGGAGCTCACAGTCAGATGAGGAAGATATTCCTTCATTCAACAAATATTTATCCTGGGCCTGCCAGACCTATGCTGGGAACACAGTGCTGAATAAGACAGACAGTGGCCTTACCTTCTCAGAGTTCACAGTCCAGCTTGAAAAAATAATTTAGTCCAGAGTGGCAAGTCTGATGACAAAACTGTAATGAGTGACACCTGATCCAGCCTGGGGACAAGGCTTAGTCCCGGAGCAGGTGACAGGAAACACTAAGGTTACTTTGAAAGAGGAGAGTGAAATGATCATGATTCTCTTTTTATAAAGACCACCCTGGCAGCAATAAGGACAGATGGGGTGAAACAAGAGCCTGGGAAGCCAGCTGGAAGGCTGTGGAAATAATCC